AGGTTGAATTTGCCATCCCCACCTCCGTCCGGGCCATCCTTGTCCTCAGTGAGCGGCACATACCAATGCGGCAGGTCGGGCGGCAGCTCGGACGGCAGCCATCCATAATCCGGAGCTGCGGCCACATGGCTATCGATGACTTCCAAGCTCTTGTCAGCAGGCACAGTCTTACGCTTGCGCGAGAACTGCTCGCCCCTTTCGTTCTGCTGCATCTGCCTCTCCTGGCGCTCTTCACAAATGCGCTCCGCGTCGTGGATGCGCCGCTGCAGCGAATGGCGAGCAAAACGATGGCGGTCCAGGAGCAGCCGCATCTCCTGGACACCTTCCGCGCGCTGCACGCTCAAACGGTGCTCCAGCTGACGATACTCGATGATGCATTGCCTCCGCAGTCGGATCATCTCCTCGCGCAGATTGTCGAGGATGTCCTCGTCGATAAACGTCCTCTCCAGCGGCTTCTTGTGCTGGCCATCCTGTTGATGCTGCTGCCGCTGGTGTTGCTGCTGCTGCTGCTGCCGAGGATTTCTCTGCTGCCTTGGCTCTCTTCGCTGCTGCTCCTGCTGCGAGCGCTGATATGACGGCGCAAAGTAGTGCGAGCGATCGTAGCGACGGCGCTGTTGGGCCTGATTCGGATACCGGCCCGAATACGAGCCCGGGTACGTACCCCGCTTCCTTAAGACCGGCTTATTTTGCACATACAAATTAAAGTACTCATCTATAAACACAAGAAAAACATAAATATTAGTGACCGGAATATGTGGAAATATGTGACACTAGCAAGCTCACCCAGGCTTAGATTTTGCACTTCATCACGCGATGGCACATCAGACATATTGCTAAAAATGTTCATAACACACTTTCTGCTGCTAAATAAATTTTTTTCGTTTTCGCGAAAACTCGACGTCTGTTTCAGTTGCCTTAATTTGCGAACAATGAAAATAATTAAAGTTAGAATCGTGGCCAACTGCGTTAGGACTAGGATTCGAATTAAAAAAAAAAAAATTTCTTCCGAGCGTTGAGAAAATAACTGCAAAGTCGAGCAAATTCCTAAAGTGACAGGCAGACAGTAAGTATGGTTGTCTCTGTCACACTCACTGTTAGCTGTTCTCAACAGAATTTGAAATTCGTTTTGAACAGGTACCGTTACTTTTGGCACAGCTTTGCAAGCGATAGCACGCGACGTGCGTTCAGATCGTGACGTCACACATGTACATTTATATATATATATATATACATATCAAATGCAAGTATGTCAAGTATGTAAAACATAAATATATTAATATTTTTATTATGATTGCAATTATAGTTAATGTTAATCGAGCTCCTTCAGCTGGCGCATGCCCATGTTGGTGTGACGTCACGTTCGCATGCGCGCACGACTATGCACGAGAGCGAACAACAGCAGTCTGTTATCTTAGTATTTTTTGTAGTATTTTACAGCACTGTTAAATGCAATTTCAACGGCCGCCTAAAAGTATGCAATGCTTTTCTCCTTCACTGTTGGCGCCAAATTCAAATCGTCTGCGCCCATCGGAATTGCCATTGTCTGCGCTCGCGCAATTAATTGAAGTGCCCAATCGAATAGATAAAAACCAAAACAAAATCAGCTCAGCTAAAAAAAGGCATATGACAATCTTTTGCCTTTTGGGCTTGTCTAATAACAATTTGAAGAGCTGACGCAAGCAGCTAAATATTTTCACAGCTTATCAAAAAGGTTTTGTATTTTTTTTTTTTGTCTGTTTGCTTTCGGCTTTTATTACAAATCGTTATATATAGTATATTGTTTAAGTAAAGTAATTACGTACATTAATTAATAGCAGCTAAGCATTTAATTGTTAAATAATAACAACTATTCAACAAAATATGTAAAAAAAAGGTATAATATATATGTATATATAAAATATAATAATAAAAAAAAAAAATTGTATAAATTCTAGATTTTTTTTTTTTTGCTTTTGTACTACGTCTGCTTAAAACATATTGCACAAATGTTTTTTTTTTTTTCGATATTTTTTAGTTGCCAAATTTAATAGATTTTTCTGGCTGTTGCTGCTGCTGTTGCTGTTGCTGGCGACTGTTGCTGCTGCTGGCGCTGCTGCTGTTGCCGTTGCTGGCGCTGAAGCTGTTGCTGCTGCGATTGCCATTCTTGAGTATGCCGTTCGTTTGAGCGCTGCCAGCGTTTGTGCTGCGCAGCATCTCCCGCTTGCTGCGCTGCTCCCCGCTGTACTCGCCAATCGTCACCGTGCCCAAGCGCAGCGTGCGTCGCTGCTGCGTGCCATTCGCTGGCGCTGCTGCTGCTGCTGCTGCTGCATCGTAATCGGGCTGCGGCATTGCCGGCGCACGCATCTGCACGCTGGGGCTGCGCACGGGCGACAGCGGCGACGCCGATCCAAATGCTGCGCTCAGCTGCTTGCTGCGAGCGGACAGCGGCTGGCCATTCCCATTCCCATTCCCATTCCCATTGCTGTTGCCGTTGCCGTTGGGTATGCTCAGCTTGAGCTGCGCGGGCGGCTGTGGTGGCGGCGACTGTTGCTGCTTCTGCTGTGGATTGGCAAACTGAGGTGGCTGCAGAGAGAGAGAGAGAGAGAAAGAGAGAGAGAAGCATGGTATGAGTGACTGACTAGATAAGTTTTGATAAGTTTTTTTTTTTATATAAATAAACTTGCGAGCGTGGCAAGAAAATGACATAAAGAAGAAGAAGCTATCTAAAACAACTAAGAATGCTGCAATCGGGCATAGTCGACCGCGCAATGCTCGCCAAATTTAGATGCTCTACACAATTATTCTCTCTACCTTTAAGTGCTTAAACTGTGGCAGAGCTTAAAGCTTAACGTATTTTCCATGCTGAAAGCTCTCCACATGCTAAATTATTGGATATGCTCATGCCAAAAGAGTCGAGAATAATTGAATAAGTCAAGCTAAGCAGTTGCAGAGCTTAAAGCTTCCTAAGAGCTTTCCATATAATAAAAGCTCATTTAAGCTTAATCCTAAGTTAACAAAGCTCACTCTTATCATAAGCTCAACTCACATTAGCTGTAATTATATTTAAGCTCATTTGAGTTTAGCTAAGCTGAATGTGCTTTATAGACATGCAATAAGCTTCAGGCTTGGAGCAAGCTTATTGAAGCTCGACTCGAATTAGCTGTGGCTCTACGAGCTTTGAGGTCTCTTAAAATATCCATGAAATAATTACGAAAGCTCTCTTAAGCTTAATTATAGCTTTAAATGCCAGCTCAACGGCACATCATGAAAGCTCATTAAAGCTCTAGGAAAGCTAATAATATATTTATATAGGAATATATTTTATATTTTATGTAATAATGTAATTTTATGTAATATGTAATAATGGCGTGGAACGTAAGCTGGCAGAAACTTGTCTAAATATTAAAAAGCTCATTAAAAAGCTATAAAAAACATTATACTATAATTTTCCAATTTGAATAGCTTCAGGCTAACGACTGCACTCAGTGAAGCTCAATGAAAGCTCATTTAAGTTCAAGTCAAGTCAAGTCAAGCGCATTAAAGCTCGCCAAAAAGCTCACGTGAGCTGCTCAGCTCCATTGGTCGCTGGCAAATTGATATTACTTGGAGATCTTGGCAATTGGGCTTTGATCAATTTTCAGCTCTAATTGGCAGTTGCTTGCAATTTTTTCAATTTCGTTTTCAATTTATGAATCTAAACGCAATCCACTTACCGGCGGTGGCAATTCCGGCGTACCATTCACATTGCTGTTGCTGTTGTTGTTGTTGTTGCTGCCATTAAGCAGCAACATGCGATTGCTTCCGTTGCTGGCAATATTGCTGCTGCTGCTGCTGCTGTTGTTGCTGTAGTTTTTGTTGCTGCTGTTGCTGTTGTTGTTGTTGCTGTTGTTGTTGTTGTTGCTGCGATAGCAGCTATCATCGGGCATAATCGAAGTGCGTTTCAGCGTCTCGCCGCGCTCCTGCGAATCATATAGAGCAAAAAATAAATAAAAATAAAAATCACAAATCAAATTTTAATGAAAATCTGATTGATTGATTGATTGATTGCTCAATTAATTGATTGTGATGTGAGTGCAGCTGATGTTGTACCTCGTAGGTGGACATTATGACCAGCGGCCGGCCCATGGAGACGGGCCGCATGGTGGGCATATCGCTGGCACGCCCACTGTCGCTGCTGCCGCCCACTCGTTTGGTACGTAGCAAACTCATTTGAAAACTCTAGAAGTTCTAGCTCTACGATGTGGTTGTTGCTGCTGCTGCTGTTGTTGTTGTTGTTCCGTTGTTGCACCGTTGTGGACGCTCGCCAATCGCTCGCTCGACTGGCGCTGAAACAGTTCGAACAGAGCAATAGCAACGCGTCGCGATTTGCTCACCTGTCGCCGCAGCGCCATGAGATAAGATAACGGACAGAGCGACCGAGAGAGAGAGAGAGAGAGAGAGAGAGAGAGACGTGCACCTGCCCTCTGTTTGCCAATGGGATGACTCATGGGCAGCGGTGCGGGTGGTGCGGCTGGTGCGGCTGCTGACAGCCGACGGCTATTGTTGCAGTTAGATACAAATTAAAAATGCTGCCCAAAAAAGGGAAAGCCAACTAATTGCCCAACGCAAGCGAAGCTCGTTTTATTTTTATTTATTTATTTTTGTCATTTTTTTTTTTTACATTACTTTGAAGAAAACTACACAAAAGTCCCCGATGACACAAGGTCAACAAAATAAACACCTCAGCAGACGCACCGAGTGTGCGTGTGTGTGTGTGTGTGTGTGTGTGTCTATACAATTTATCAAATATTTAACTGATTAGCCTATTGCTTAGCCATTGCTAGGGCAGCTTGTGCAATTGCAAGCCAGAGCGCTGTCATGGGGCATACACGACTAGAACATACCGCGTGCAAAGACAACAGCAACAGCTGTCATTCATATTCTATCCACAGCACATACAACTCGCTCTCTCTCACCCTCTCTCTCTCTCTCTCTCTCTATCTCTCTCTCTCTCTATCTCTCTCTCTCTATCTCTCTCTCTCTCTCTCTCTCTCTCTCTCTCTCTCTCTCTCTCTCTCTCTCTCTTGCTACGGCTCTGGAGAGGGCATGCCAAAATGCAGAATACTCTATATGATTCCACACTCAAAGCGCATCTGATATATGCTAAAAGTAACAATATTTGAGTTATCGATTTTTATCGGTTGTATGCAAATTTCAAAACATGATCGATTCTAGTTGTACATAGTATTTAAAGACAGACTAGAGCCTTCATCATGATCAACAAGCGCATTACCAGAATGCATAACTATAGAATAGTCGCTGCATTGAGTTATCGATAAGTTTTAGCTTTTGATTGAGTGCATTAGATGCCTTTCAGTTGTTATTTTGCTATCGATATTAATCGGGTGAACAACTTATAGATTAAAATTAGAGGATTTAAGGGCTCCAGTTAATGTTTCAGTTTGATAAGTTCTTTAAGCTGTATAAAGCCTTCGGCTCTATGAAAAATTTGCATTATTTATAAATTGAATATATAGATAAATCTAATATTATATACATATATGCACATAAATATAATCTTATCTATCTCTCTCTCTCTCTCTCTCTCTCTCTCTCTCTCTCTCTCTCTCTCTCTCTCTCTCGCTCTCTCACTTTCTATCTGGATATACGTGACAAACAACTTGTGCATCAAGAACTAATATCTCTAGATCCATATTACTTGCAGTTGCTGAATTAATTATATTGACTCACTCTCTCTCCCACCTCTCTCTCTCTCTCTCTCTCCCTCTCTTTAATCTTCCATTAGATAAGATTAGCTTAGGTCAAAATATTTGCATAAATGCATAGACTCAGCCGAGCGTCACCCTTACAAGTGTATCTAACCATCCATCTATCTGTCTGTCTATCTAGCGACACAGTCGAGATTAGATCTAGATTATTATTTTTCACTAGAAAAATGCAGTTTTGCGATTAGCTTGGGCCAAAAGTCAATAGGGAGCTTCGCTAGGCCCATCTACATATATTGTTTTAATACTCGCCCGCCACGTGAACAGAGAGTATATTGATTTGCTGTAGTCTTAGTGATATGCTCGCATTGAGTGTTCACTGTGGCATTTGGCAAATCAGAAATTGCTCTATCTTTTCTATATGACTGAGGCTAGAGAATCGTAAATATATATCTCGCGCAATTTTATAGCCGGATAGCCAAAGTTTGATAAGTCAGTTACGTAAGCATTTATCTATAGATAAGCCAAACATGATATATATGTATATACATATATATATCCGCCTATTATGGGTGTGGCAAATCGAATGAGGTAAACAATAATATTTTGCACATATATGGAGCCGGAATTCGAAAGCTATTCAGTTGGTTTTCTATTGATAAGATCGTTAGATGAGAGAAGAAGAGAAGAGTATTTTCTTTTTTTTAAACTATTTTATTGCTCTAGCTCATAGTGTGGTTTTTGGCGTTTCCTTTACTTCTAGATGATATACCATATATAAGTTTATATCTATAAGTTATATCTACTCAATCAGCTTAATATCTGTTGGTTCGTATTAAATCAACTCAACATTATGCCTCTTCTCTATAGAGCCTGTGACGGATAATTATAGATCGTCTCCGAATCAAGTATATATAAATATAAATCCAATTCGCTTAGTCCTTGCTTCTACTCCCTTTTGTTACGTGCATTTGTACGAAGCATATGCAGATGAATCCGTTTATAAGGACACTACCCGGAAGACGCTATAGCCGTATAAGTTTGCTCATAAAATTTTGTCTTGGGATCCGAATTTTTGTCGCTTTAACCGTACAGACGCTATAAGGAGGAGTCATTATAAACGGATTCTGGTGTATATCAAATGGGCTTGCCATAGGCATAGCTTTGCCTTTCTCTATCTTTATCTTGGGGCTATCTCCCTCCCTCTCTCTCTTTGCCTATTCTACATATAGGCATCTCTCTCTCTCTCTCTCTCTCTCTTTGCCTCTTCTAAATATAGGTATCTCTCTCTCTTTGCCTATTCTACATATAGGTATATCTCTCTCTCTCTTTGCCTTGTCTTCTACATATAGGTCTCTCTCTCTCTCCCTATTTCTCTTTGCCTTTTCTACATATAGGTATCTCTCTCTCTCTCTCTTTGCCTCTTCTATATATAGGTATCTCTCTCTCTCTCTCTCTCTATCTCTCTCTCTTTGCCTTGTCTTCTACATATAGGTATATCTCTTTCTCTCTCTCTCTTTGCTTGGTCTTCTTTAAATATGTAGGTATTTCTCTCTCTCTCCCTCTCTCTCTTTGCCTCTTCTACATATAGGTATCTCTCTCTTTCTCTCTGCCCCTTCTACATATAGGTATCTCTCTCTCTCTTTGCCTCTTCTACATATAGGTATCTCTCTCTCTCTCTCTCTCTCTATTTGCCTTGACTTCTATCTATATCTATAGGTATCTCTCTCTCTCTCTTTGCCTCTTCTGCATATAGGTATCTCTCTCTCTCTCTCTCTCTCTCTATTTGCCTTGACTTCTATCTATATCTATAGGT